TTAGCCTGGGGAAGGTTACTACTTACCTAACTGAATTCTCTTCACTGCAAATATTGACCCATAGGAAGGTACCAGGATCCCCCAGCCTCAGATATTTAGCAGGATATTGGACATTTGATCCAGCAAAAAAAAGGGTGGGCTGGGTTTTTTATTGATTGGGACAGTGAAGAGAATTCAGTTAGGTAAGTAGTAACCTTCCCCAGGCTAACTGTGCCCTTGCCTGGGGGTTCATTACTACACCCTAACTAATTCTCTTCACTGCGAATCTTTAGAATCTGATTCAAAGTCCAAGATTATTGACACAACAATTGTCAAGTGTATGTAATATACACATAAATTGATTATGTATGTTAAGTATATATACACACATGTATGTAATATATGCAGAAATTGTGAATTTATTTTTATTTTTTATTTCAGTACCCAACAACAGTTCATTCACACGCACATAGGCACCCACTCTTTTTCTCTTTCTCACTGTTTTATTTTTTTATTTTTTTTTACAAGTCACTCTCACAACAGCTGTACAATTCTTTCCAAGAGTAAATTTGTTTTTCAGTTGCCTCATCCGGTTCACACACTTTAGCTGCAGTTCGGTCGACTTCCTGCAGCTGTCCCTGAGGAGGATTTAGGACCCTCTCTTCCAGTGGAAGGCTCTCGAAATTTGGAGCATGAGTGCTATTTTTGGGTCCTGAACAGCTGTTTCCTAGGGAGTGCCTGGGGTGCAGCTGCTTGTTGGTGTGGGAGGGGGAGGTCCATTTCGATTTTTGGCCCCTTTTCTCAAGCTTTTTGTTAGAGTGTCTTTGAAAAGTTGCTTCCTGTTTCCTCCTGATAATTTTGCAATGGAGTCGAAGGTTTTACTTTACTTTATATTTTATTTTATTTGATTAATGCTATTTTATGGAAAACTAGCAGTTGCTGATCTCATAGATTGAGGTGTGTCATTTTATGCCAGTTTCTTGTAGGTTTTTCATTTGACATTGCCTGAGTGTTGATTTTTGTATTAATTGGCCATTGTCTGCTAGACAAAAAGATATTCTTATTTTTCTGGGAAATTTGTCATTGCAGCATATATCTGAATCAAATTGATAGGGCAGATTTGGTGATTTCATATGAAAGGTACTATAGAGTTTCTGCCTCTTTTTTTTTTTAGGAAAAGAATGAATAGATCATCTTTTCTTCCCAGAATTTTTCCCAAGCTTTGGAATATCATCCACTTGGAGTCCTGTTTCCAGAGCAAAAATAGTCAAAGTTTCTTTAGCTTGCTCAAGGATTGTGGTAGGATATGGTCTGTCTTGTATATTGTTCAAGACTTGTTTTGCATCCCAAATGGGCCCTTTGGGTTCCAATTGTTGGAGGGTCTTTATTCACCTTGCATAAATTGTTCAAGATGTGTTGGTGGGAAAAATGTAACTTAGCTTGCCCTGTCAAACAAAGTACAATTGCAACTTTTCTCTGGCAGACTAACAGAAAGAGTACCTCTGGGGTACTGCTGTATATACAGCCAGGAAACTGAAAACTGTGTTGGATTGGATTGTACCAACATCTTCTCATTGTTGTTGTAGACCATCATAAATTTTGGATGATTTGCTGATATGTTTCTTTGTGTTTTTAGCATTTGCTGAATTTTTAGTATTTTGGGCAACTCAATCTAACTGTTGCATAGAAAGAGAGATGCCTGCAGGTTGGTTTTTCAAAGATGATGGCAGGCTGTTGGTATTTGTGGTAAACTTCAGCTTTCCAATAGGTTTTGGAGATTTAGGGTTGTTACTCAGAATTTTAAAAGCAAAATGTGGGGAAAACCTAGTTCATCACTCCAGTCTTGAAGTAGAACATCAATGTAAATTTTTTCTTAAATTTTTCAAGAAACAAAATCTTGATAGTTGGGTATGCTGGAAAGTTTCAAACCAATCATTGTCCAAATTTGTTGATTAGCTTGGTATTAACCTCCATTTTGCATCCAGTTTTTGTTGCATCCTGATGTGACATTCAATAAGTCAAGGCATCAGCTGGATTATTTATGGATGTATAGTGCTTCTGCTCTAGGAGACAATGTTGTAGAAAAGTTTATTTATTTATCCCTTATGTTTGAATGTTTCAAGTGCCAATTATTCCAATTTCAATAAGAGATCAATGGCATCATCATGATTCACATACCCCATACTGGAAAATCTTTGTTTTTCAAAATTTGCCCTTCTTGTGTTGAGTCATCTGGTATAATCTTGTGTGTTACTTGTGGCTGCTTGAATGGTTTTTGACAAGGATGTTTTAAAGCTTGTCACCATAGTATTTCTTCAGTATTGAAACTGTGGATTATAGTTTTTCTCTGATCCCAGTCCAGAATTGATTCTGGTAAGGTTGCCTTAATGTTTCAAAGGCATGAGACCATGCATGACCATAAGGTATAGCTGGTATGCAGCTTAAGAGGAAACCTATGATTTGTGAAATTTCCTCCAAGTAATTGGAGTTTGGTTTTTGTGCACCAGTAAGGAGGATTTTGAAATTGTTTTTAGCTAATGAAATTTTCCTGGTAAACTCTAAACACTTTAGTTCACTGTCATGATGAACTTCAAATGCTTTCCACAAGTGCTATTAATAAGACAATATTTATTATAGTTGAATAAACCTGTACTTAGCAGAAATTGCTGACAGGTGTGAGTATCTGTCTCACATTGCTGAAATGTTGATGCCACAATAAGTGTGTCATCAATATATGCATGCACTTGGATTCCTTGTTTTCTCACAATTTCAAGTAAGGTATTCATAATAATAGTAAAGTCTGGGTGCTTCTTTCAAAGGCAAAGAATGGTTGGTGATCTGGGTAGAGGGCTACATTGTGATACCCTTCAATGAGGTCAATGGAAGCCAGTACCGGGTCATCTGCCAGTCAGTCAATTGACGGTTGTGCACCCGTCGGTCATCAAGCACCAGTCGGTCTAACCGCCAGCCAGGGCAGTCCTTGGCCTTGCCAATCCCCAGTCCACCAAACCTTGGTCCAGTCACCCAATTGTTGGGGCACCCAAAAAATTGGGTGACAAGAATCATGCTGATTCTTTCTAGAATTTGGTGAGCAGAATGGTATCCTACCATAGATTATTTTTTTTTACAAAATTTCATCTTATAA